CCCCCCCCCCCCCCCCAACAAAAAAAAATACAAAAATACAAAAATTAGCACACAATGAAGAAGGGTGACCAAAAGGGAAAGAAAAGGGGATCCTAGTGCGGCACTTCAGAACATGTCCAACATAAGGATGTTATAAAGGCAGTGAAATACAAGACAAAGTGAAAATTAGATTGATCTAATATAGGCACTACCAACTTTTACAAGAATCTTAGAAGATTTACAAATATAAAAGTTTGACCAAGTCCAATTCAATGTGCACTGGAATCCAGAACAAGGGGAAGAAAACTGGACTAAATGGAGCAACAGACAAAGTAGGATCAACAGGACTTAACCACATCATTTGTTTCGAATAGGCACCAGCATACTACAAACTGAAAAGCCCATTCAAATAAATGAAACTATGATATCCGTAGAAACAAAAGAACAGTGGCAGCAGAAAGAAAAATAAACAAAAAAGGGATGGAATGACCAAGGAAATGGTGACCAATGCAGAGAAATACATAAGCAATATCCTGAGTTTTCTATAAAATGAAATGTCCCAAAAACAACCAGTCAATAAACAACTATAAATGCACAAAAAAAAGACATCCGCAACAATAACAAAAAAAAAAAAACAACAGCATCAAAACACAGAAAAAAAGGCACACAGTATTAGCAACTGCATTCATAGCCAAAAAAAAAACACAAAGTGCCATCATAAAAAAGAACCATCTTTGCACAATCAATCATCCGAACAACCAAGCATATTCACAAATATCAACATTGCTGGCAAAAGACTACTTTTATCAAAACTAATACTTAACTCATACAACAAATATTGTACAGTGAATAATATTACAAAATTACCTTAGTAATAGGGTGGCATGCCCTGGTACATCCCGCCTGGTGGAACTCTCGGTGGACCACCCGGAGATGGCTGCTGTAGCTGTGTAGAATACACGGAACCGTAATTCCCACCACCAGGGTACCCTCCTGAACTAGGCAATCCACTAGAACTTGGCATCCTATACATGGATGACCCTGAATTGTTCAATCCGCCATACTCTCCTGTCCCAGCAGCCCCACCCCCAAACTGTGAACCACCAGTACCATATCCCCCAGCACCACCATAGCCACCACCACCACCAGCATAAGAACCTGGCTGGCCTTGATTACCATATCCTGGCCCTCCCAGCCCACTAATCCCGGGAGTCAAATTCGTGTTCTGATGGGGCAACCCTGCGGCTGGCCCACCCGAAAACCCTCCATAATTCGACATCCCACCACCTGGAACGCCATAGTTTGAGTTCATCGTCCCCGGCATTGACCCAGGTGCCGGCATTCCCTCACCTGGTAACCCACCAGGTTGCTGAGTCCTCCCTTTCTTGTTGTCAGTAGCCAACTTACAAATCACTTGATGTCCATCAACATTCTTGATGGGATCAACCAATGAAGCCCTAGCCCCCTCCTCAGTTTTATACACAAAAAACGCAAACCCTTTAGGCTTCCCAGTCTGCTTATCAAATCCTAAAGGCCCTTCTTCGATCTCTCCATACGCCGAAAAATGCAGCAACAACCTCTCCGACGATATCTCAAACGGCACATTCCCCACATAAATCTTCCTCAAACTGACGTCAATACCATTAGAAACTCCAGAATTGCCCGCCGCCGCCAACTGGGCCACCGTAATTCGTCCATCGACCTTCTTGTTCGGTTCTTTCAGTGCCAAAATCGATCCATCGATGTGTTTGAACGTGACAAATCCGTAACCTTTTGATTTTCCAGTATTTTTGTCTGTTATGACTATGGCTTCCTCGAGTTCGCCGAAGGCGGAGAAGATTGAGCGGAGCTTTTCGGTGGTGGTTTCCCAGCCAAGGCCGCGGATGAAGAGTTTCCGTTGGGCGGGGTCGGAGTCGGCGACGGAGCGGACGGCGGTGAGGATGTCGGGGTGGTGAAGGAGGGCGGTGCGGAGGATGGAGTGAAGTTGATCTTTGGTGAAGGGTTCGAGGATTCTATCGGCGTCTTCTGGGGTGAGGTGGGTTGGGGGTTGAGTGGTGATCGAGTCTGTGGTTGTGGGGAAAAAGGCGCCATTGTCGTCGGCTTTACGCTTCTTGGAGATGTCCATGGAGAGATCCATGGAGTGTGAAGAGAGAGGGTAAACCCTAGGAGAGAGAAAGTAAACGAGGGAGAGAGAGAGACAGAATTTTAAACCCTAGGGCGAAGGGGTGTTTATAGTGTGTGCTTGTGCCAAAAGCATGGGGAAGGTCAATACGACACCGTTCTGGTCGACTTGGAGTCGGGTTTTCTGAGATGCTGGTTTGTGGGCTTTTTTCATATGAACCCATTTAGGCTTCACACAAAGCTGCAGACCCATCCCTTAAAATAAATCAAATCCCCCTCACCCAGATATTAAAAAATCTCACACAGATGTCTCTCATCTAAAATCTCTCCATGTGAAACTCTCACCCTTAGGTTCTTTTAATTCTCTATCTCTCTCTCACATGAAAATCTTTCTCGAAACAACGGTACATATTAGTCTCTCCGTTCATAAATATCTATCGTTTTACATAATTTTTTTTGTTCCATAATATCTGTCGTTTTATAAAATCAAAGTATAATAAATATTTTTTCTTCTAAATTTACCCTTATCTCTGTTTTTCAATAAGTGTTTAATAGATTAAGTGTAGACTAAATATCTTTCATATTTCTTTCTTTCTTAATACGTATTAAATAAGGGTATTTTAGTCTTGTGTAATTATTTTTTACTCATATTATAGTTATTTAATAGCTTTCTTAATTCATATGCAAAAATCTTAAACAACAGATATTTAAGAACGGAGAGAGTATTAAAAATTGCCCGTGATCTAAGAGCATCTCCAAGAGATGGAGTAAAACACAAAAATAACTAAAATTTAGCTAATCAAAGCAAAAAATTATACTCCAACAATTGCTCTTCAAATGCTCTAAAATAGATTTTTGCTACAGTAATACTCTAAATTTAGAGTATAACTGTAACAACTTGTAAATATATTTTATATTATTTTCTCTTTCTTCCTCTCCTTTCTTCCATTCTCTCTCTTTCTCTCTTTCATTATTCCCAAAAAAAATAATATAAAAGGAATGAGAGAATAATATTTGAAATGAGTAGTTAAAAATATAGAGTATATGTTAGAGTGTGTATTGAAAACGTGAGTAGTTAAAATAGAAAAAATTATTTTTTGGGTAGCTAAAATACAATTTGTTGTTGGAGATGCTCTAAGTAGATGTGGGAAACCTCTAAGCCACATAATTTTCCAAGTTGTGGGTAACTTTGTTAATTGGTTTTGGAAATTATTCAACATATGAAGCCGATACTTGGTGCACTTTTTTTTTTGTCCTCAAAAGTCAACTCATATTTACCCCCTATTCATCTCTCTCTGTAAAAGTAAGTAAAAGACATTAAAAAAAAAGTTAAAATTAAACATTCTCTTCGATAAAAAACAAAACAAAAGTTAAAATATTTTTCTTGGTAAAACTGACTGGTTCTTTTTCTGTCTATCTCTCTCTCACATAATAAATTAAAAATAATTAATTTTTTTTAAAAAATAATATTAAAAATAAAAAAAGCTCTCATTTAGTGTTTTCGCTTTAAGTCTCAAATTTTCTTAAGCCACCCCTATTTTAAAGTTAATTTCGATAACGTGGTGTTTGGTATAAAGGGTCCTATTGGGGTGGGTGTGGTAATTTGAGATGAAGTTGGGGTATTTATTGTTGAATGTCCGAGAAGGTAACTGTTTTGGGCGAAGCGCAAATTACAAAGACTATTGCTGCAAGGGAAGCCGTTCTTTTTGCTAGGCAGAATGAGAGTGATGAGATTGTGCTTAATGTTACTTGTTATTATTAGGTTACTCTATGGATTATTATTTGATGTTGGCTAGGGGTGCAACTTGGACAGGTTAAACAGTTAACCCTAGTCTAATTCTAGGTATATAATTTTCAACCCTAACCATAACCCTACCTTTCTCAATTTGAGCACCGCCCGAGTTTAATTCGGGCGGGCTCAGGTTGAATTTGGGTTACTTTACGGGTTCAATTTGGGTTTAGTTCGGGTAAAGCCCAAAATAGGCTTGTTGTTCTAAACCTAATACATATTTTACATAATATTCACCTAAATTAACAACTAATAACTTTAACAAAGTTTTTAATAGTGCTAATGCTAGAACAAAAATGAAAATGAACAAGAGAGACAGAGAACGATAGAACAAAAATGAAAAAACAGTGTTAATGCTTTATATATATATAATTTTTTTTTTAATTTGTCGGGTTCAGGTTGAACCCGTGAACCCCAAAGCCTTAACCTAAGCCCAACCCAAATTGAATTCGGGCTGAGATTTTATGACTCAAGTCCAACCCAAATATTAAAAACTCTTGTTCAAGTCCTAACTTTTTCGGGTTTGGATCGGGTTGAAATCGAGTTGCCCAACCCAAGTTGCACCCCTAATGTTGGCAACATTCAGCTATGTTCGGTGTTGTGTTATGATAAGTGGCCTTACCAAAAAATATAGCTTTAGGGGTACAAATATGGCCTGTGTGATGAATATAGATTAAATAATTTTCAAATAGTCTGTGTGGCGAATGTTACTTGCGTGGCTGATATGCTTACGTGGCAAGTATGGCCTGTGTGGCAAAAATTGTAAACTTCTATTGGAGGTTACAGTGACTGGTGTATGATGAGATGATTGCTAGGGAATTATGAGACTTTGTATATGTATTGACTTATAAAATTGTTTAGTTGTACTAATAAGATGATTATGGAAGTATGTGTTACTTGTTATTGTTGTTAATTGTATATTGTTTATACACATTCACTAAGTGTGTGTGCTCCCCCCCCCCCCCCCCCTAATTTACATTTATAAGTAGACAAAGAGGAAAGAATGTTCACTGCTGAGTTTAAGTGGTATGAGAAGGAATTGAATTTTTGGTGTCTTGTCGTATCACTTTGTATAATTGTTGAGTGTTGCAACAAGAAGAATTTAATATTATAATAAGTTATGATTAAAAGTATCGTTACATGGATGTGATATGCCGAGATATCAAGAGAATAAAGGTTATTTGGCATATCTGGTCAGTTCAAATTATTATTTAAAAGTAAGTTTATTTTCAGGGTACATGTGTGAATCAAGGGGTAGGGTCCGCTCTATCAGATTTGGATATAATGTATTATCTTCGGGTTGGGATGTGACAATGTACTTAGAATTAGTTGGAGCAACAAATAATTCCAACAGTGAGTTTGAGTAGTATGAACAGTGGAGAGAGAGTTCAATAGCAGCTGGAAGTAGTCGCTTTGATACTAAAGAATAGAGAGGAGATTTATGGGGCATTATGGATTGAATTGGGAGATACCGGAATGGGAAGGGATCTTTTGGATTTCTCATGAGTTGTGATTGGTGAAGTCGGAAGGAGAGAGATCAGTAGTTTTGCAATGAATTCGCGTGAATTAGGACATACCGATATGGAAAGAGATATTTTGGATTGATAGATGAAGTCAGATGGGGGGGAGAGGAGCAGTTTTGGAACAGTAATGCTACGTTGACCAAATTTAGAGCCCAAATGACATGACAATATATTATTTGGAGCTGTAATGCTACGTTGACCAAATTTTGAGACTAAATTTGGAGCCCAAATGATATGGTAACATATTATTTATAGTTTTTATTAGAGCCAAAATGACATGACACCAAATAAAGAAGCTCAAGTCAGCTACCATGTTATTTGGACTCTAAATTTGGTCTCAAAATTTGATTAGTGTAGCATTACTATATTTGGAGTCTTTATTGGGACTCAAATAAAATGACACCAAATAAAGAAGTTCAAGTCAGTTGCCATGTCATTTTGCTCCAAATTTGATTTCAAAATTTGGTCAGTATAACATTACTGATTTTGGAAAGGAGAAAATGAGATAGAGGAGGTAGGGAGTGGTATGTGTCATTGGATAAGGGACAAATTGTGAGAGAGAACAGAGAGACGATGAGCAAGGGACAAAGTAAAGAGATTTACGAAGCAAAATTGGGACTAAAGAGATTTTAGCATTTTGGGAGCCTTTTAATTGGAAAGAAGATTTTGGCATAAATTTGGGAGAGAAGATTGGGGTAAAAAAATTTTAAGAGCTAATGTGGTATGTTGAATTGAAACGATATGAGACATCAATAACTCGAGATAGTTTGAGATAACGTCGTCCGTTGGATGATATTTTTTTTGATCGTGAAATGATCTAAGTCGCTCTTTGTCTCTTGAATTCAAAATTGTTCTACTTTATTATATAAAATATGTTACACAACTAAAATGAAATACAAAAATTAAAACTCAAATGCATATCATCCCTTAAATGAGTGTAGGATGAGTGAGTCCCATTGAAAAAATTGATAAGATTTACTCATCCACAAAATGATATGCATTTAAGTTACAATTTTTTGGATTTTATTTGAATTTTATAACTTTGTTCTTATTTTATAGATGTTAGTGTTATTAAGCCATTGAGTTATGTGAAACTTTAAGATTCTCACGTACGCAGGAGTGGGATCAACAAAGGAGATACGAGTTTTCATAACATGTCAAAATAAAATAATATGTAATGTTAAACTCACTTTTTATTATTTTATTTTATTATTTTTTGTAATAACTTCCTTATTAAAAATTCAATTTTTGAATATTTAAGGTTTAATGACCAGTTTTCCAACCGTCTTTTTTCCTTTAAATTCTAACAATTATTATTTGATTAAATATGAAATTAATTACGAAATATCAAGAGTCATTTTTTTTGTTTATATATTTAGATATATCAAAATTGATATACACTTTTCCATATTTTCTATATTCTTCACTACTACTCTATTTTTTTGGGAAATATCGAAAGATGTCCGATGAAGCTTCTGTTTCATTCGATTGTGCAGATTTAAGTGAAACAACAGTCAATTAGGCTGAGTTGTTGTATACTAGGGACAACGCGCTGCTAACTTCTATTTTGTGTTTCTTCCATAAAGTGGTGTGAATTGTCTTAAGAGAGCAATCTAGACTGCTCCTCATCTTGTCATTCACTTTATCTTTCGAATTCATATTTTCAACGCACATATTTTAGCAATCACCCTTCTATGTCATTTGGTAACCACCCCATATAAAAAAGTGGGGTCTACTTTATTTATTTGTTGCATTTCTCTTAGTTGGTGATATTATGTGACATTGGTAATGTGATGTCACTGTTGTATCAAATATTTACTCATGTTCGTGGGTCAAAAAGTGAGGTAGCAATGTTGTGAGCACAAAACGAACTATTTTTTCACCTTTGACTAAAGCTAGGAGTGAATTGAAGGCCAATAGCCAACACAACAAAATTCTTAGCACATCCTTGGCAACATAACCAAAATGAAAACAAAAACATACTATGAGAAATCAAAACTATCACTAGTTCAAATGCTAGGAATGAAAGAACTTGTAACTATAATCAACTTTTTGGGACATTTTGATTGTTTTCCTGGGGAAAAAGTACTATATTTTCCACAAACAAAACCAAAAGCATTTGATTTGCAGAAAAAGTGCACTTCCAGAAATGAGAAGTTCATTCCTTGATCCTTCCCTCTATCAGAAAACTACCTTCATCCCCAACCCTTTTGAGAAAGTATACAAATATAAAAGAAAAACTATGCACCAGTTTTTTTTTTTTTTGTATTTGTATTTGTATTTGATCAGAAGTGTAGAATGAGTTTTACTAATAAGGCAAGCTCTTAGAACTTGAACTGATAATCAAGGCCTTGAGCTTAGATGAAACCTCAGCACCATTGGCTCGACGCGTAATTGTCTCCATATTTTTGTATAGGCTTTGTTTCACAATCTTCTTCATCATTTTCTCCCCTTCGTTGACATCCTTCTGATTTACAGGCGAACCAATAGCGATCCTTCCTGTCTGTGGCCCTGAATGAGGCCCAATCCTCATTTGTCGTTCGTCTTTAAACCACTGCAGTAGTTTTAGTGCCCTTTTTTGAGCCAATGGGCTACTCAACAATGCCACTTCAAGAAGAACAGGCACAATTCCAGCCTTAGACATTTTCGCTCTCTGGACCGAGCTGTGATGAGCTAGTACCATCAAAATATAAGCCGATAGTTCTTGGCATTTCGGTTTCTCCTCCCATGTCAAAATCTCAATGAAACTCTCTGGCACCATTGTATTGTTTTCCAATGCCTTCTTCCCTATCAAGGTCACTGCCAAGTTCCCGAAAATTGCAAGTGCTTTCTCTGAAGTTTCGGTCACTGAGGACAGCCTCAAGAGGATTTTTACCACCTCATTGGTGGCTAATGTTCCTGCATTTTCTAACATAGTGGAGAGGTTGTACAACGTGCACAAACACAACTCTTTGGTATCGATACTTGAATTGGAGTCAAGAATGCAGACTAAAAATGGAAGAACTTCCGATGAGGCAAAGGGGAATTGGCTGTGTACTAGGGAAGATATAGAGAGTAGCAGTTCTGCAAAATCATGCCTTGTCAATTCTTCCAAATCATCGATGCTTTCGGGTAATCTTGATAAGATTCCTGCCTCTACCATGAGAGCTTTGTTCCTGAAAACATAACAAATATGATAAGCAAAACATTAACAAAAAAATGCCCTTTTGAAAAATCTGATTTTGTTAATGATAAACTAAGCCAAAAAAAAGTACTATAATTCAGCTGCATTGAAGACCAAAGTACCATTTCTTTGCTTAAACTACTTAGAAATAAGAGAAAAATTGGGGGAGAGAGAGGGGGGGGGGGGGG